ACAGATGTTTCTATGACTTCACCCCTTCTGTTTTCTGTCTTTGCGGAATAGTTGAAATCCAGGATGCATAAGCTCCTTATCACTTTCTTGTTCGGACAGCTATGCTTGTGCTATCGAGATAGCGTCTGCGTTGAGGTTTCAGATATGCATTTGAAGTTCATCTAGTTTTGAAAGTACTCTTTGTGCGTTGGTATGCATGACTTTTAGTTTCGAGTTCCCGCGAGATTTGTTTACAAACCCGTCACACGCTGCAGGCGTATCTATGCAGTCATTTAGATCGGCTTGCTCCAGAGGGGAGCAGAATGTCGATTAACTATCTGGTCTTTGTAGATTAACAAATTCTTTCTTCCGTTGGTTCGCCGTGTCCCAAAGACGCAGTGAGCCAACGTCGAAAACGAGGGCAATTAGGACGAATCTTCGACGCCATGATTGCCAACTTAAAATGAACCTGTTATGTACCAATCAATGTTCGTTCTTACTTTCGCAAATATTCTTTCGTGAGTAAATTTCCCTTCCGACGCATATTGCGCATTCTACCAACGTGAGTGTGGTTAATAGGCGTCTGGATGCTCACATGTCAATTGTCAGTGGGCGGCCTCAAACACCAAATAATAGGTCGTCGTTAAGCTGTCAACATGGTACTACATGAACTTCAGTAGACACTGTTGTTTACTAAAACCACAAACTGAAAAGACAGTGGATGTTAATGCAATCATAATGTTACCCCTTGGCGTTTTAGAAAATTCACCAGCCTTTTGAAATCCCCCTACTCGCGCTCAGTCTTATAAACTTTGCAGGATGAAATCGCTTGTAAGCCTTATTCTATTAACGGCTCTTTATAGACTCTTTCATTTTTTTAAATGAGTTGTTAAATAATTATATCATGTACTCCAAATGCAAGCATTTACGCTGACTTAATAATTTAAGAAGATAAGGAGGACAGGGAATTGCATTAACGCGTGAAAGCGTGCATTTATGCTTTTCTTAACCTTCCTTCTTTAAGCCGTGTAGAAATAATGTGTCTGGCACAGTACTTAATTCAAGTCAATAGTAGGGAAAATGCGATTCCCATGTGGCATATCAAAAGGAGGTGGGGCGTTCACCGGGAGGGATTTATTTGAGGTCCGACGATTCAAGTAGTTGATTCGTCTACCCATCTTCAGAGACAGGGAAGTCCTGTGCACAGCTCCCCTTTTAATGGCGCCCTTTGTCCAATGCGTGATCCACCAATGCCGCCTGTGTGGCTGCATCCAACCCGCATGTCACCGTGACCTGAATCGATCCCGTACTCCGCGGAGATGACTGACGGCCACGATTATCCCGCGCCGTGACTGTCCCCCGCTAAGACGCTGATGCCCAACTGCTGGAGGAGCTCAGATTATTTTCAACGCGGCCGACCACTCTCATCGTTGGAGATTTTAATGCACCTCACATCGACTGGAGCTCGGCCTCAGCCGACTGCTCTGAAGCAGCATTCGACCAGCAGC